ACTTGTGTTCAGTTATCCATGACATACAATTCAGTGGGAAATTTCTACAAAAAATTTGACTAGATATGGGTTGTAAAGCAGAAGACATGGTTTGACCCCAACTCTATGAGAAACTTTCTGCGTGAACTCTGGCAGCTCAGCGACGTACAACTTCTCAAAGAGTATTCCACTATCTTTGTTCTTAAGGTTCTCCAGCCTTTAACCTCTGTGTCCTAGTTTCCACCCATCTCTAAAACGGCAGTCTTGCTACCTTTCTCCTCCTCCTATGAAAGGAACATCAAGAACTGTAGGAGAAGTCCATGCTGAGATGTTGGGGGCTGCAAAGACTAAAAGTCTACACAGAATTTCAGTTATATGCTCTTTTTCAAGATCAACTGAAAGAAATTTTAGAAGAAGTGTCAGGTGTTACTTTCATCTTGAGCTGTATGCCTATAGAAGGCATTACAGCTATCAAAATAATATTTCAGGTTATAACCAAGTCACCTACAACTCTAGAAGCCATTGCTAAAAAACAGACTTACAAGTCATATGAGAACTTCCTCTGAGAGAGAGAGAGAGAGAGAGAGAGAGAGAACAATAAAAACATCAAATAACAAATCTCATAGCAAGCACACTTCAACTCCATCCATCTTATTCATTGTATTTTGTAGACAAATACATAGACAATTGCAAAATTTGTTCATCAGCAAAGATGCACACAGTATAATAGACTCAATAAGCTTTTCACCCTAACTTATGCTAACAAAAACTGCATAAACTAGATTTTGACCTCCGTTTCTTCATAAGGAATACTCTAGCTTGTTTGCAACCTCTGGCTCTGTTGGGTTTCAGCCCAGGAAGTCTTAATGTCTATGAAAGACTAATCGCAACATAGTGTGAAATACCATTCATGTTTATTAAAGCAAACTTACAGTTCTTCCTTGAATAATACGCAATTTACAACTATGCTCCTCAAAAACAGAGCAGCCTGCAATATAGCGGGTTTTTTGTTTTGAAATACCATCTATCATGCCGTAACACTATGATTTCCTTGTTTCTGATCGAAAGCTTTGTGTGACAGCATCAAAAGAACTAACAGCATATTTGCCAGTTTATAGAACTTACAGACCACTTCTCCCGGACTTTAGAGGTAAAAAACTCATAGCAATAATTTTGAAGCACCAAAATGAATAGAAATTAATGAGACTAACTTTCCTTGTTCAATATATAAGTTTGCAAATTCCCTCAGTGCCAAAACGCATAACCCAACCACCTCAGGGATGAACACAAGAATATGCTACAAAAGGTAGAACAAAGAATAAATATATTAACAATACATAAATAAATTTGTTTTTTTTCCTTATTATTTTCTATCATTAGCAGTCAAGGGTCAGGAGTCCTACATGGGCAAATTCCTCTTGTGTTGAGGCAGATGCAGACTGACCCTTCACTGAAGTTGAACTCTGTGCATGCATCAGGTCTAAGTCACAGCAATTCTCAAACTTTCCCAACGACGTGGGGAAGAAAGGAGGCATTCTGAGAAGGCTCTGGATTAAGACAAATCTTAAATAGAGGGGACTACAAATCCAATACGAGAGTGATCCAGAACTGAATTAAGACATACCTTGTAGAGTCTGCATCAGTCGCTCATTTGTTGTGATATTATTCATCAGCGTTGCCTGAAAGAAGCAAAGCAGAAAACAATATTTTATTTGCAAAGGGTGTTTATTTCCATTAATGTTATCAACAACATTGGCCGAAGCACTTTTGTAACAAGATTTTTCCACACACAGTGCTGGATTAAAGCCAAACACAAAAATGTTATTAGCTGCTGTAAAGATTTATTATTACAAATAACAAACATTCATTCTAACCTAGATTTACCAGTGAACCTCCTCCCCCACCCCCCCCCAAAATCATTAAATATCACTGCACTTAAATGACAAGGGGAGGAAATCTAAGAGACCACAGCTAAAATGGCTTGCTGCTCTGTTCTGGTTTAATCTCACGCTCATTATCACAGTCAGATTCACTGTACTTATCAAGCAGGCCTTGAAGGAAGAATACAGTGTAGTACAGCTCATTTCATCAACCACTCTCTCACCATGGAATCCATACATTTGCATTCAGGGATGCAAGGATGAGGTATCAAATCATTAGTCACAGAACAAGCATAAATGAACTCTATGAAAGAGATGTTAAGTATTGCATCATTTATTCTAATTATCCTCTCCCCTCCTCTGATGAGCAAGCACTGGAGGACCATTCTTCCATTCCCTCATTTCTCTCTTGCCCTCTAGAGTTCGGAAAAGACAGTCAACATATGAACACGTTTTGTCCTCTTTCCCCCCGCTCCCCTTTTACCTACCTGCATATACAAATACCCCAAGGCATGTGACTACTCACAGGACCAAAGCAAGTCTAAATGAAAAATATTTCCTTTGAGCCATATAGAAATGGCTCAGATTCACATTTAGTATTTAGAAAGTCTGGTGCAGAAGATTCTTCTTAAGACTACAAAAAAGATAAGACCAACTGACCCTTCAGAGATGATCCAGTTTTAAGAGCATGTATTTTATTCTTCATCATGATTTCCTAGCCTTCCTTTTCTCAGGAAACCTCAATATTCTGCAAGGGTCCGAGATGAGACATCAGGTGCCCAGTTTCCACAAGCTGCTGCTCAAGTACTGATACGTGCATATGTCCACATCACTTCAACATAAAGAAATGCCCACGTTCACACAGTTTGCTCAGGTCACTCTGAAGCACTGACAACGCTGTCAGTTAGTGCTAACTTTCATGAAGACTACAGTAATTAATGCCAATTGATTAGGAGAAGGAAGGCATTCAGTTAATACAAGTAGGTCAGCACAGCGCAGAAGAGTGGATTTTCCTTTATTTGTCCTTGAAAGAGTCTCAACTCAAAGCAATGGTCATTCATGTCTTGAGGAAGAAGCAGCCATCTGCAATCCAGTAAAATGAAACATTCCTCTGTACGGTTGGCCAGTGAACACTACTGTGAAACCTAAAGAGCAAAAGCTTTGTTTCTTTGCTTAAAAAAAGTTAACGTGAATAGCAATCTCTGCTAAGGAGGGATTAACATCTCTCCCTCTCCTTCCTCATAAAAAGGAGGAAAAAATGGTCTGGATTTGTTTTCATTAATTTATTGGAGAAATGAAGTTATCGTTTCAATGTAGGTGCTAAGTTTTGCTAGTGCCTGAGCAATGCAATCAGGTTGTTCCATGATTATCACCCTCAAGATTTCCTGTATTGGCATTAGATAATCCTGGCCATTATCAGAAACCATCACTGTACTAAAGAAATCAGCATTACAGATGACATGGCAATTTTACCTTCTCACATAATTTTTCAAATCGCTGAATATTGAGACTATTTATTTCACTTTGACAGTGAAATGGACAATTGTTAAATGCTTTGTTCATTAGGATAGTAATGACTGTGACTACCTGAAGCAGAAAAAACAAAATTATTTGCCATTTGAAAAGGAAAAAAAAATTGCACAACTTGCTCTTTATGGACTGCATAAAAAAAATCCCTTTTTGCAATGCCGCACCTTCCCCCCCTCCCCAAATTTGAGACTGAAAGACCAGGAAGAAATCATGAAAAGCTACCCAGCTTTTTAACTTAAGCAGAAAATGCTGTTCAATAATTTACGGGGTAGTGTTCCAACTGCCAGCTTCCTATCTGACTATATTAATAAACTTCAGGCTTTCCATTCGTCCACTTGTTACACAAACATTAACTAATCTTCACCTCATGGCTGTGAACTAGGCAGTTACTATTTTTCCCCAGTTCGTTGCTGGTAGAGAGCAGACTGCAGGAAAGCAGACAGCAAATACAAGGCAAAACTCAGATCCAAGAGGCAACTTAGATCTGAAATCTCATTTGGCCTCGTGATCTCTGGCAGTGAGAATTCAGCATTTGGAAACTCAGTATATCACTACACCAAATTCTCATCTCCTACGGTACGGAAGTAACTCCATAACACAGAACCACCTATTACACTTGTCGACACATCCTGCAGAGAAGTCCTTCTGAATATCAGAGAGAAAAAAACACTCTCCAGGCTGGAGTCAATGTTGTGGACAACAAGCCTTTAGAAGCCATATACTGTCATCAACAGTGACAGAAAAATCTTGCTCCAACTGGACAGCAGAGGTTTTAAAGACAACTATCAGAGATACGTTTATTCCTGACAGGAATACCTGTCAGAAAGCCTGTCTCTTTTCAGATAATTTATCTCAAAGACATGTTTAGAGTACATACTCTAAATTATGTACGTGCATTTCCTCGAGTTAATTCCATACATAGACGTCTCCATAAACATATGCCTTAGAGGCAATATTACACTACACTGCTTTAGCACTGACTGCATACAGCATTTGCTATCGTCACAAACCAAGCTATCCCCACCACACAGAACTGACATAGGTGTTTTCTAACACTGACTGTACACACTGTACCTAAATGCATAATGAGATATTGCAGCAGAAAGAGGAATAAAATGCAGTTGGGAAGAGTGAATACTTGTTTCAAACTAAAACAAAACAAACAAACAAAAAGATGGCTTTCATGTGGCATTCACCAAACACAGCTCTCAAAGAGAAAGAGGAAAGCCACAGCATCAGCAATTCGCTGCTACACACAGAACTACATGATGGCTCACCCAGTCTCTATCACCCAGAACAAACTGTTTAGGACCAAAACAAACTGTGCAGGAAAGAGTTAAACATGCGGAAACCAGCAGAAACAAGCATTTATAATTAATAGGGAGAAGATAGGCATCTATTTCACGATTAACTCAAGCTGATCTAAGTCCTTCCTGCAAACAAAATGAGCAGTCTTGCCATGCACATTCCTTTTGCTGCTTCCTCCTGCCCTTGCCAGCAGCACAGTGCAAGTCGTGTTTTTGTTATCTGTTGTTCATTTTTTAATTTTATCTGGAATTTCTTATCCTTTCTCTGCTTGTACAAACACACCTCCCCCACCACTTTCTTGGCAACCTGCATCTTCTGTTCTTTTGTCTCTGTACGTTTCTTTCTCACCATTTTAAAATAATTCCCAAGACAAAAGAAACAATTCGTACTAGCCACAAAAGCCTTTTTCAGTCTAGGACATGAGATTAATGGTTAACTAAATAGTACTTGGTGGAAAAAAATAATCACTGAGAAAACATTTCTTTTTTAGGTTAGTCTCTGTGCTGCACACTCATTTATGCTTCCTTATGAGAGCCCTGAGTAAAGCACATCCAAAGCAAATTTCAGCCTCAAAATAGAGCAGATGTTTTTCATTTAAATCCTTTTATTTTCCACTGAACCGACTTCCATTTATAAATTACGAACTTTTCTTCTCAATAAAGGAAAAAAGAATAGCTCTAATCCCAAATACTGATCATAGGAAAGACTTTGGGCTTAATCTTCTATTACATCTTCAGCTGAAAGCAATCTAGGCTCTCTTTTTTTGTGATTAAGAGCCTCTGTACAGTGATAGAGGGCAGTTCAGGTCTCACACTGTAGAAGCTACCAAAACTGTAAAGTAACTAACAGTTTCTCGCACTCTCAGCAGAAGAGCCAGGTACAACAAAGAAATGACTTAGAGCTGCAGGGCAACAGGGAGTAGGTGAGAACAAATATGCCCTTTGTGGCTACAGGGTTTCCAAGACCATCACCGTATTTAATTAAAAATGAAACATCTGGCAGTGCAAACAAAACAGAATTATATGATAGGAAAACCCTACCTATAATGCACGTACAGATAAATAACGTGCTTTCTGCTTTCTTTTTTAGAATTCATTTAGCTATGAAGAGAGGTAGGAATGTTTCAATAGTTAACTTTTAAACTACACATCCTCTGAATCCTCACTTTTAGGGTCCCTACAGTTTACCTAGTTCTATACTAGCCATTTTTTCCTTCATCATATAAAAACACATTTTAAAACACAGCTAGCCTTCCAGACCTCTACTGTACCAGTTATGAGTAAACAGACCGCTTTCTAGAGCAGTTGGGGCGGGGGGGATGGTAAAGGGGTGAATGGACTTGTTTTAGCTTGTTCTTCCTTAAAGCTTTTTTGAAAAGAACCAGAAAAAGAACCAGAAGATGCAACATTGTCTGCTTTGAAAACAAAAACAAAGCAGCTATAGGCATCTCTCTTCCTTTTCACCGCAGGCTTCTTTCTCTCTTCCCCCTACCCACTGTCATTTCTTTCGAGCAGAGCTGATCTCAGCATACTGATGGGTATTTTGTCTCAGAAGGCTGTGCTGGGAATTGAAGTTTTCCCAGAGAGGGGAATTTGAGAACAGCTGTGGCCATTGTTAAAAGACAGTGAGCAAGAGGGCAGTGACATATTTCACACACAATGTGCAAAGCCTGGTGCCCCTCCTCAGTAAAGGGAGATCAAGGCTGGGGAAGAATTACATAAAGCCAAAGAAAATGACAAATTGCAAAAGCATGTTTTAACAGTAAAAGAATAAAATGGACAGATTACATGTATTGTTCTCCAGTTAGTCTTCAAAGAAGAATATCAGGGCTGCTGCGTATATCCCAGAAGCTATGGGTCCTGAATAACAACCAGAAAGGATATTGTTCTCCTTTAGAAAAATGGTCATGGATTAGAAACATCCCTTTTGCACTTCTGATTCCTTATCTGTTGTTACTGAGAGTTTATGTAAGCTCTCTTCATCTCCTCAGCCTGTTTCTGTATGGACTTCCAGAAGCCATTTGCTAAATCTACATTAAACCTCAAAAATTCAAATGGATTTTTAAAAACAGACTGGTGATCAACACATTTTATACATTCCCAGACCTAAGAGAATAATTATGACAGTAATTTCCCAGGATTACATTGCCTGAGCGAATGGAGAGGCCATGGGGTATTTCAGGCTCCATCTGTCTCCCATCCCGTGCCCTCGTTCTTAGAGTGGCGCAGAGACAATTTTACCAGAAGCGCAGACAGATCAATTCATACTGGTTGTCATGCTGCCACTGAGACTGACTTCAACCTGAGGAGTATTTTACTGGTGTATTACCTTGGTATTAAACAGAATAAATATGACAATGTTTTAGTATTTTGTGAGCAGACGAGTGATAAGATACAGTGAACAGTGAAGAACTGCAATTAAGGTGGGTTTTAAATGTTGTTTTGGAGTTACTTCTGGTTATGAGTCCCCTAAATTGTGAAGGTTTGTTACCTTACAGATTTCTCTATAACCAGTATTTCTCCCTGAAAAGGTTTTTCAGAGACAGACCGTTCACTCCTGCATACATATCACCAGAACACATTTTCATTTTTCTTTGTTAAGAATATAACAATAGAAATAAAAAAAAATCCCTTTTATCATTCAAAGATCTGTCTAGTTAAACTTAAATAGTGTTAACACTTGGAAAGAGAGTCAAGACACTCAGGGTTTGGATTTTCCTCCAACAGTCCTGGACTAGGTAAATATTTGCTGTTATTTCCCCCTCAGGGATTAAAGGTTCAGTTTCAGCGCTCAGTTTCCTGTAACCAGGAAGGATGCCTTTCATTATTTGCCTCCCAGGAATTTTAGATTCCACTGGAATCCATGGAGCAAAAAAATAAGAATGCCTGAGTGTATATGTATTTACACATGGATATACGCACACACACATGAAAAAGGTCACAGACAGTCTTTTCATGCATTCTACATCCCATGGTCAAATAACCACTGCCTATGAAGAGCTTCTTCATATCAAGGTCCTTAATTAAGAGAATTAAGCTTTTTTTCTTTTTCTCCACCCCATGTCAGGGCATTCCGATTTTAGAGTCGATGAATCTAGGCCAACTTGGTCAATGGCATCTTTTGACAAGGTCCCTAAAATACACTGGTCTTCATAAAAACAATTCTCCCTACTCTCATATTGCAGAGTTGGAAAAGAAACATCTGTCTGGGGTATTTGCTGACCTGTAGCCAGAAGAGTGAACTTTGAATCTGCCATGAAGCGGTGCACATACACACACAAATATGCACATGCACACACACACGTTCCTCCCACCACTTCAGTCTCCTGAGGTATGCTCTTTTCCAACCACAGAAGGCAGTTGACAGGAAATAAAGAAGCCATTATATCACTGTTCATCTCATATTTCCCACGGTATCAGCCCCTGGGGTTTCAACAGCAAACTGCATAGATTATACTGTTCCTGAACACCTGCATTTTAGGAGGAGGGCAGACAAAGCACTCATGAGGTAGCAACACCTGTACCAAATCAGCCCAAAAATTCACCTTGCCCAGCATCCTGTCTCTAATGCTGGATGCCAAATGAGCACCAAGGCAGCCATAAAGCAGTAATTCACCGTCACATTCTTGTAATACCAACCACTTCTGACTCAGGAACTTTTGCAGCCAGAAACCGCATCTTCATATTTGTGGGGATGAGGGCAGCAGGTGTTTGTCTGAGTTTATTCAATTGCTTTCTAACCTGCATAGACCCACTTCAACCAGATATTATGGATGTTACAAGTCTGCAGCTTTACTACATATTCTGTGAAGAGCATTTCTTTTGTTCGTTCTGAACTACTACTTGCTGATTTCTTTCATTTGATGTCTGCAAGCAGAGGGAGAACTCCTGTTCGTTCTCTCTTCCAGCACCTTGTCCCTTCCTCTCCCCTTGTCTGTCTCCTCCTCTCCTCATGCCATCTTGGATCGTAGGTGTTTCTGCCACAGCTCTCCCTCAGCTGTCCCTTCTCCAGGCCAACAGCCAGCAACCTACGTAGTAGATTCCTGCGTTGCTTTGGTTATTCTTTTCGTCCTTCTCCATGTGCCTTTTCCATCTCTCCAAAACTCCACTGGCATCCTCCCTGCAGTACAAAAACTAACGCACTTTATTTCCAAGCTGTTTCATAACTTTTGCCTGCTTATTTGTCCCTTTGATAACACCGACTTTTAATGCACAGTTGTATAACTTCCCCAAGGACCTTTTGCGCGTAGTCTTTTACAACTCCAAGTCTGAGTACACTCATTAGTCTCCCTTATCCTCCTTACTGACTCTTTCCAAAGGAAACTCCCTCAGACTTCAAGAACAGGATTTCCTTCTACAGAGGCTGCTTTGACTCTTCCCGAGCTTACCACATTTTCCTCATGTGAGGCTTACTAGATGACAGCTCCCACAGGCCCTCTAGGACTCAAAAAAACCCCAGAACAAAACAAACAAACAAACCACACACACAGGCACCACTAGCACAAGCTACCTTTCATTTGGCTGACAGCAGAGTAGTCCGAAACAAAATAAGTCACACAGCACACTTGGCCAAAACATCTTCTCCTCCACGGAGCTTCTCTAGAACCCCTGTGTGAGCTCTTCTGACCAGCTCCTGGCGTTTGCCCGTTTTGCTAATCTGTTCTACAACTTCTTCTACCACCACCTCAGGTGATACACAATAATTGTTCTATAGGGAAGGAGGAAACATAGTAGAGGAAAATCTAATATTGAGAAGGAACCATAAAATGCATTTCCGTTGTAAAAAAAAAAAAAAAAAACAACAACAACTAAAACTCTAAAGTAAATTAAGTAAATATTCATGTCTTTCTCTCTCTCTCTTTTTTTTTTTTTTTGGTTCATTAATGTGCTCTGTTACTTGCAAGACAGAAGCAGAATATAAAAGATGTCAAAACAGAATGAAGGGTTCTCCAAGGACTAGGGATCCACAAATTAAACTCCAAGAGGCAAACAGGGGTAGTTGCACAAAGGACGGTAAACAACTTCCGCAGCACTCAGTAGCATCACTCACAATTAGGAGACGGAAGGGACAGTCCCAATTACTCAGTAGAACCTGTCTGATATTCCAAGGATACCTTTTTTATAAGTACAAACAGTTAAAAATAAATAAATGAACAAAAAAACACACTGCACTTTTTTTTAAAGCATACCCAAACACTTAATTCAAAGAGGATAGAGAAATTATCAAAGAAATGTGTCTGTTCCAAAATAGGTAAAAAGAATTGGTTTACTACTTCTTTGAAGAGCTCAGATAAAAACGATTTTAAAATAAAAATGTATGCCACTAACATGCATATTAGTCAAACACTTCACCTTGGTTTTTATTGAGCTTTTCCTTCTCCAAGATTTCCAAATATTCATCTGGTGATGTTTCATTTACGAGAGTTTTAACACAGAAGATACATTGTACACCACACATTTTGAGCAGCAGGCCATCACATAAGGGTAAACCACTTACCACTTACTTGGATGTCTCCAAACGTTATTGGGTTTGAGGAGAAGAAGGCTGAAGTGCCACACAATTTGAAACATACTTAGAAGCAGACAATCATTTATGCTTGCTTAAGAAGGCAGTACAGATATATCTGCTGGTGCAGCTTCCTCTCTTCCTAAAAACCATTAGCATACAGGAAAGAAAGCCAGAGGCCAATCCAAGGTATTTGTACCAGGGATTTACAACAGGAGAAGAGGCATTTTTCAGAAGTGCTGTCACTTGCAGCTTTTAATATTGCACATTTAAAGGCTGATGAAGTGGAATTATAAAAATCTAGATTTTTGGCTTATTCTGTACGCTTTCATTTCTTTCCCTCATCCCCCATTTTTCAACTAAAATTTTTCTCCATTGCAGACCACTAAACCAGTCTTTTATCACTTTGAGGGCTACAATATACATTCAGCTTCCATTTATGAAACATTATACAATAATACATATATCATACATTTCACAACACAAAAATCCACTGCAAAACCATTAGCTGGAACATTTAAGCAACCTTATTCTACTGCAGAGAATGTCGTGGTGAAATACAGTCTCAGGGTAAACTGTAGCTAGACGAGGCCTACCTTCTCTTCCCGATGTAGTCTGTTGGCATTTTCCATCTGAAAACTGTGCAAGGATTGGATTTTATCAATCTGCTGTCGTTGCTTCTCTAGTTCTCCTTGGAATTCATTCTTCTTCAACTCAACTGCACCTCTCTCTGCTGCTGCCCTGCGGACTCTGCCTTCTAGTTCCATGATCCGATTCTGAGAGAAAACAAGTTAGCAAAAAACAAGTAGAAATGCTTCTTGTAAGTGGCTGTTTAAAAGGTGAACGTATTCAAACGTCACAGAGAGAACTTAAACAGATAACGGGCAAGTCCATCTTCTTGCTTGCTGACGCTTCTCCAACATTGTCCACGTTTAAGGACCACCCCATTGCAGGGAAAATAACAGATTAAGGATGCTAGTCTCATCAAAATATTTTCCTCAGCTAGTTATATCTGCCAGTCACTTACACATACACAAAACAGTCTTAGATAAATAACGGATTGAGGTCATATATTGTACAGACTATCAAAATTTCAGTTAAATATTTTAAGAAAAATGTAAAGCAGCCTACATAGTTCAGCTTAAAAAACAAACAAACAAAAAACATTTTCCCAAAAAGCAGTACAAAGTCAAAACCTGTCTAAATCCCATCCACACAATTCTGATATCACTGCACTTCCAGTGTTGATGCTGAACTAACTCAGAGAGTAAACTCCTCTCTCAAATCATCAGTAAGTTTTACTCTAAGACCTGAGAAGCAGCTCAGGAAGGACAACTCTGCCCAATTTTTGAAGCAGCTCAGGAAGGACAACTCTGCCCAATTTTTATGGAAACAACTAAGTATACATACCTCTTAAACAAACATATATATGAGAAGAACTCATTTTAAGTGAAAAAGTCTCTCTCCTCTTGATTGCCCAAAGAGTGGTGACAATCGAAAGAAAATTCAACACTAACCCACAGATGCACGCACAAATACAGCCACACACAACATAGAGGCATTGAGTCAGATGTGGTAAAGGCTTTTCTTTTCTTCCTTTTGAAGTATTAATTTAATCTTCTCAGGGCATTGCTCTCTTTTTTGTTGCTGAAGAGTCATCAATATCTTTCTCTTAACTCAAAAGTGTTAGAAACAAAGATGAGGGAGGAAAAAAAAAAAAATCTCACCAGAATTTCATCAGGTAAAAAAACGTGGAGGTTCCTGATAGATTAAAAACTGGATATAAAATAAAAACCTATGGCATCTGCCAAGCCTCTGAGAAAATGGATCAACTCCTGTTACACCACAGTATGCTGCATATTACTGCCTGTCTACTCCACAGCATTGCCAGAGAGAGCCAAAAAAAGGAATGGGGAAAAGGGGAAGGAAAAGTGTTTGCAGTTCAGCTGAAAGAGCACAGAAGAGCACTTACTCCATTTTAGTCATTATAGTAGCAGAGTCCTGCCAAAAAATGAATGGGTTAATGGTGCTTCAGAAGCTGCACTCGTATCTTGGGCTATGCTTTTATTCACAGTGCATTATTACACAGAAGTGAAACCACTTTCAAGCCTACTTTGAGGGAACTGTACAACATAACACCATTAATCAATAATGAGGAACAGGACTTTATTCCTTTAGGCTACTGAGATCAAGAATAAGCTAGTATGTTAACAATTCTTTCCTTTTTATCAGCTGCACCACGATTGCGCAGAGAAGCCTCAGCGGTCTTGATACAGCTATTAACAGCTGGTAGCCACCATTCTGAGGCCAGTGATTGAAGGAAAAATGGGAGTTGAGTTCCAGAATGATGGTATCAAACCCCCCTCACCAAGGGAAAGCTAAGGCATACCCTTAACTGCACGTGCAAAGACATGCATCCTGCATGAATAGTGCGAAGTCTGACACGTAGCAGGAGTTTAGTTTCTACAGCTATCAAATCAGTTCTAAAATCTAGTTCAATTATGAAGAGATAATATTAATTCCATAGAAAAAAACTGAGAGGACCTCTCATCAGCCTTATTTAATCACCAGGTTTTCAGTTGTATTTAAAAAACAACCACCGTGCACACACAATCACAAACCAGAAACGTTATTCATATAGTATTCAACCTCAGGATGCATGGTCCTGTAAGGATTACAAACCCAAACTCAAGAGCACAGAAATTATAGTTACCATTACAAAATAGTAGAGAGAGTAATTATCCTATCTCAGCTTTGTCTGCTTTCCTTAGGAAAGGTTCCTAAGAAATACAAAATCAGACTGTTAGACACTCTCTGAATCAGCTGATTTCCTTGTACTTGGTGAGGAGTGTGTGCATGGAGAAGTTGCCTTGCATCCCCGTTTGCCCAACATATATTGAAAGAAGTTGATCTTACTCTATACTGAGCAACTGTGTTCACCAGAACGGGTCGTATAAGAAAAAAATGTAGGTACATGAGCAAGTAGGCAGGGGCCAATTCAGATTAAAAACAAAGTGCTGATTTGCAACGTACTGTGGGGAAAAACAAGAAAAACAACAGGATGGCATCTGCTATGTCTGTAAACTCAAACTGCGCAAAACGGTTGAATGCCTTGCAAGGAGACTAGTAACAAGCACCACCCACACAGGTCTTCTGGGTCCCCCAGACCTCTTATAAACAGGCACTGCTCCCATTCCCCTCCTTCTCTCTCTACTGATAAGCCACAACTGCAACAGTTGTGAAAATTGCTAGGACACACCAAAGTTTCTACCTGACCGCACGCAGGCAGAAGCAGTCTTCCTGTTGCAAGCCATGTTTATTAACCACACAAGTACAAAGCCACACACACAGAGCAATGGCAACATTACCTGCAAATCCACGCTGCGAGAACTTGCAATCCAGTAATTGAAGCCCAAAACAATGATACATGCCAGGAGCGCAGCTACGAGAAGGGGTGGAGACTTCATCCCTCGGCGGCTGTTTCCTAGCCCTACCATTTCAAAAAAACAAACAAACAAACAAACAAGTGTGGAAACCTGCAAATTAAAATAATATATGTTACATTACATCATTTGCTACCACTGCTTTATGCATATAATCAAACTTCTATGGTAATTCTGCAACAGCCCTCAGGTCAGTGGACTGCACCTAGCAAGGAAAGCATTCTGCCAAGATGTTTCCATCTGAAGGATGGTAAAAGACCATACCACACTATTAGCTTCCACGCTATTAGCTTCACATGGGATGTCAGCGAGAAGGGCTTGCATACTCCTAATAATGTAAGAAAACCTGCAATTATCAAAACAAATGAACCATCTTCCTACCATGTATTCCATCCTGCAGGTTAATTAGACAATACTGGTCTACAGATAGAAGATTAATTCCTTGTTATCTCATTCCAGTCAGTAATCAAATTTAGTCTCTCAGTTTCAGGAGTAATTTCCACTCTAGTTTCCAAGCTTAGGTAGATTCATTTTGTTTCCCTGAAAAACAGTATTTTAATTTTTTGGATCCAAATTTGGAAAAAAAAAATAACAACAGATCGTGCCAACCAACTTCAAGGACACTTTTAAAGAAAAAAAAAAAAACCCACCACTTCTGTTGATTTCAATGGGAAATTTTACCATACAATGTTTGTTTTGATCCTCAGCTTTCTTCCACTCCTAGCAGAAAGTAAACAACCTTGCCTTGACAAATCAGCAGGTACTACTTGCTTTTGAGCCTTGGGTTGTTTCTATGAACAGTACATTTAAAAAAAAAAGTGGAGATAATGGGCAATTGCAATTCTATCTGAAATAGGTTCTATCTGTTCTGTCAGAAGAGCAAATCTAGTCTTCATGAATGTATTAGCACCTAGCTCAACAAATCCTCAAACTCTACTGGGAGTCTTTAGCACAACTGGTAAATACAAATTGCTTTCTCATAAATTGAGATGAACTTTTTTACTTCTTGCACTACTGCAGACAAAACCCAGAAACAATAGCACAGAAAATCAAACAGACAGCAAACACCGACGCTAACTCAATATGACATAGGTGGATTTACTGTTATACATTGTACAGTCTCACAAGGTGCATGCTCTTAAATAAATTAATTTCTTTTTCCCTATGGATGCAATTCACAGCTTGTAACGTATTTAATAATGACAGCAACTCTTAAAAGGTTTACAGGAGGACTTATCGCAGGGGGAAGAGATAATGTCAGCAGCTAGCAAATAAGAGATGTTGATTGTCCTACAAGCCCAGCGCTCAACCCCGCAATAGCTCACCTACGTTTAATGTACACACAGCACCTGGAGGAAAGCCTCCCTCTGAAACACTCCCTTGCTAGATTCAAATGAAGATACAACTGTTCCTCTTCTCTTCTCAGCAGGGAGTGCACAGATTGCCAGGCTGGTAAGTATTAGAAATCTGCTTGTTCATTTCAAACAATTGTGTGCATTTATTTACAGCTGGGGATGGGGCATATGCTGAGCCAAAAACTGGCCTCCTGAAAATGCTGCCTCCTTACTCAGGCTGCAGCTTCTGCACCAGCTGGCTGGGTTGCAAGTCCATCACTTTGTGTGCGCACACCATTAGCACACACACATACACGTGCAGGCGTACAGGTCCAACACCAAAGCCTCAGTTTCTTGCTTAAGCAAAATTCAGCCAAGGAGCAGACACATGCTGCAGAGCCCCTGTGGGCAGCCACAGGCAACAGCAGTGACTGCGATGGAATAAGCAAAAGGGGTGGGGGGAACGCATTTCTGTTGTAAAGCACAAAACTAAGACTGACTAGACTAAAAAAAAAAAAAATACACAAGCATGTACAAATTGCCAATATACAAAGCAAAGGAGTACAGAAGCTTACACTCCCTTGCACAGACTGCTTTCCTGCTGCCCCATCTCCAGAGGAGCACCCAGAGGATTGATTACATAGTCTGCTCCTCTTACGCAGATTCCCCAAAAACCACAGATCTCCAAAGTGACAAAAAAGTGAGGCAGGAAACAGGGATGACCAGCATTCCCGCATCAGCTAAGAACAAGACAATTCATTTCTTTGTGCTTACCAGAATAAAATACTACATTTCATGAAAGAGTCCAATTAATGTTTTTATTCAAAAAAGTAATTTGTATCCTGTTCTTTCTTGTAAAAGTATTAGTCAGTACACTTGAAAACACTGTAAAATTACTAAATGAAATACTGCAAGATGTACTGCATCACTCCAAGTGTTATTTGAATGAAACAATTGCTATTTTTCCCCTGGCACTTAGAAGTAGAGAAAGCAATCTATTTTATTAGAAATAATGACTTGCCTTGGAAATAGCTACTGGACAAATATATTAGATTAGCTATTCAGCTTGAAAAGACTCAGAGCTAGGGCAACAATATTGTGCAAAACAAGAAGGATGAATTCACCATGTACCTTAAAGCACAGGCTTGAAACAATGTTTTAGGAATGCTGATACACCTTCCCAGTGCACAAATTGAGGAGCCGAAGTGACTCTTTTGGTGTTTTCAGTTATTAAATAAGCAAGCACAGATCTCACTAAATAGCATGTTTGACCGCAGCACATTTCCCCTTCCAAAAAATCCAGTGTTGTTTGCCCTTAAATAATTTATGTTAAATAGAAATATGTTTTTGTATTTAACAGAAGGAAAGGTAAAAGGAGGAAGAAAGAGAAGGAATATGGAAAAAGATCTTCCTCCTAATCTAAGCAGTACAGACCCAAGAGATTGCCTCAACTGCAATATTCGTATCTCCTTCCTCACTAGCCAAAAAAAAAAAAATAATAATAATAATAATAAAAGAAATAAAAGAAAATTCTTTTTAGTTTTCTGTCACAAACAAATGCACACATGCACCCATGCTTTTACAATATAAAACATATCTTAAAAAATACATTTATATGGAAATAGATTTGTACATCCAGTTTTCCAGGAAATACCTGGTTTGGCAAACTTACTTAAAGTGGCAAAAAGATACGTTTCTGATTTTATGGATAAGAAAGTGATTTTACTGAACGTGAAGGCATCCATATTTCATGGATGTTTACTACAGATGTGAAAAAACAGATGCTGTATCGCATACATATTTTGTAAAGCATAAAATGTCTGATTTCTGTACAGCAGATTTCAGTCTTTGGTTTGCTATCTTTATGAGTTATGTCCAAGATTAAGTACACAGTCTGAGCAATTCCTATTTTACTGTGCACTGCCGGATAGCAACAACAGGCATCTCCGCAACAGGTAACATCAACAAATCAGCACTGAGACTTTACAGGCAAAGACAAAGCAAGACTTTCTGTGCGTTTCAGACTCCCAAAGGGAAGGCCAAACGTCTCTCCGCTCGCAGGGGCCAACTCTGCGCGTCTGCAGGAGACTTGCTGAGTGGGAACAAGCAGAGCAGATGAGGTACTCGAAGCCTGCCCTCCCCCCAACCACGGTAATCCAGAAGAAACACTGGACACTCACAGAATTGACATCTTAATTTCTAGCAGAATGAGTCAGTTTATCTACTCAGGGAAAAATCATATCACGGCTCCCCGGATGAAATGAGCTCAGAGGGAAGTTAGGAAGATCTCTGGATCCAGCATCGTGGTCCAGCAGGACCAGCTGCTTGCCGTTACTGCAGCGCCATTCCCACCTCGTGAGCCCCCAGGCAGATGGCACAGCCTGCCCACGTTGCTCAACCACCAGCCGCATGCACCCATCCCACCACCGGGTGCACCCCCGGTGTGTTGCACAGCTGCCACCCAGGCCCACGCTGCAGCCACCCCGACGAGTCGGACATGTACAATATTACATATCATAGTAGAGCAATAGCTCTAATCACCAGAATAAAGCTGAGCACTGCGCAACAGCAGGGGAAGGGAAACCAAGCAGGGAATCACAGCGGCCATCACGGTGCTGCGCACAGTCCTTCCCCAAGTCCTGTTCCTGACTTACAGCCTGGTATTTGGGGACTGAAAGGCAGTTTGGAGTTACCTGCATATGTCCCACACAGAAAAGTAGGCCTATATCTGGGATAGCTTTCTATTTCTGGAAGAGGAAACCTCCTTCCAATGAGGGATGCCTAGAGATAACAGTGCTACCCTGACCTGTTGCGGACTCCTTTGATTTCCTAGGGATGTTTTGGAAGAAATATTACATGTTTTTTCAGATATTGTCATGAACTTCCTATGTCAGACTATTTGAATAAGAACATACCTGCTTATCAAGCAAACCCATCAAACTTTTTTTGTTGGCAACAGATAGTTACACAAGTTGCTATACGCAGACATGATCACATAAGATTAACAGGCAGCAGAAATTGGGCTTAATTAAAAAAAAAAAAAAGGAAAAAAAAATTTAAAACGTCAATCAGATACCAAATATTTGTGCAACCACTCTTCCAGAAGAAGATGAGAGTTGGAGGGAAAAGGAGAGAGATGATAAAACAAATCAGACCAAGTTTTATTTTTAGTTTCATATATAGTCAACATGAAAGTGATCACCACTGAAAAACAAATGTAATTGCTCATTTTTCTTCACACCTAGATGTTAATAACAAGTATCAGCATTCATAATTACACTGTTTCAAACTAGTCAGAGCCAGTAAAAACCTTCAGGATTTCAAGGATACACTAACCATCAATAGGGATGAGAAAATACGTCTAACACACTGTCATAAAATGCAGCACTCAGATTTGCTGTCATCTTCTACAGCAAGAGTGTTTGAGAGATTTTTTTTTTTTTTCACTTGTTCAGTTACTTTTTTCCCTGGAATTTACAAGTCAAAAGAGGTTGAATAAATGTTTTTCCAGTGGAGATTTAAAGCCTGCTGGTAACCAGCTTTCTCCTTCTAGCTACCCTTTACAGGAGTCCACAAACTGCAGGCTGAAAGATAAAACACTTTCCTAAAGCATGTGGGAAGAGCCACTTCTCAAAGTTCAATGCTTTGGACAATCGGTTGTTTCAAACTGGCAACCAACCAAAGAAAATTTAAATACAGATACTGCAGTCACTGAGTCACTATTTGCTTAAATTATCAAGTTACTCTTTTTACAGGAA